TCATGGGCAGGCGTAAATATGCGTGAACATACTTTGTAAAGTAGTTTTGTCTAGAGTAGAATCTTTTTAAAATATTAGAATATTTACAAAACTGAATGGAAATAAGTTTTCTATTAAGAATATCGTATTCGGTGAGACATTCGAAAAATAATATGTAAAAATCATAAACTGATTTAAAATTTTAAAGCCCGAATTTTAAATAAATCAATCTCAATTTGAAAATAATTTCACAAATCTTTATTCCTTTCATAAGTGAATTTTGTAAAGTTAAGATAGAATAAATAAATAATAAAATTTATGAATATATTTAGATGTTTCATTCGATATGAATAAGATTCAAAATTCTAATGACCGTGACACCGAACTAATTGGCAAATCATATTTTATCACACCGAATATTTAACAATTTTCAATATAACTTATATGGATTGATATAACCTAATATGGCTTAAAGTTAATTGAAAAGTACAGAAAGGTGTTCATTAATGCATTTTAATGATTAATTAGTGTAATTATAATTAAATATTCATTTTTTTCATTAATATAAGAACAAATTCAATGGAATCTCAATTGCTTTATAAACAAGCGTATGCTATAAATATTGCAAAATATAAAGCATATATTTAAAATAAAACCGTATATTTACATATGTTAGGTTTAATTATAAAATATTTGAATTAACGTGTACTGTACAATACGTCTGTGAGATGTGCAATCGTTAAATAGAATTTCTAAAATTTAGAAAAAGATCGTAATGGCTTAAGTTTTTCTTCTCTACTTGTAAACTCAGATATTTTAAAAATATTTTTTAGTTAAATCAAGATTTTCTATTCAATTTACTGCCATTTTCGATATTATTAATTATATCCAATAAGTTTGATTTCATTAAAAATTATATTTATATCTCTTCAACTTCCTTTAGGCCTAAATTATAGAGCCATCGTAACTATATTTATTGCACTGAGAGTTCGAACTATTCCGATACATCTAATTTTAATAAATTATTGTAGTTAGAAATCAAATATAATAATTAATATAAAAACTGTATAAGTTATACAGTTTCTATAAAGGTAATCAGAATATTCTATTCCAAATTAATATTAAATAACTTATTGTATAAAATTTCTTTGGTCATAATTATTTAAATTCATTCAAATTATAAAAATTCCTCTCTTGTCTTAAATTATAATTCAATCTTATATTCGATTGAAATTAAAAATATTCGAAAATGAACATTTGTTAGATAATTATCAAAAGTTCAAAGAAAATTAACAGTCGTAACAAAGCTTCTTTAAACATAGGTATGGTTTCAAAATCGAAGGGCTAAGTGGAGAAAAGCCGAAAGATTGCGAAAAGAGAGAGAAGGTAATCAATTAGAAAGAGATAAGAATGAAGAGGGAAGAAACGAAGAGAAGTGCGATGAACAAGAATTCGAGAAATCCACCGAAGATAATACGGACGTTTGTATCCAAGAAGGGGAAGACGAAGTAGAAAAGAGATGTCAAGAGGGCTCAGAAGGACCAACAGACAACGTCAGAGATGCCGACAGTAAAGGAAGCGAAGTGTATTCTGCCACTGAGGAGGGCGAAGCGGGAGATAGGTACGCTGGTCAAAACGGTGGCCTGGTTCTATCCGATGCTGCTTATAATAAAGAATCATCACCACCTCCTACGTCATTGGGGATGTCTTTGAGACCGCCTTTTTTCTCTTCTCTAGGAGACGGGTATGGTCTTACGTAGATTTTTAAAACTGAGTAAATCGTATGAAATATTAAAATATTATATTTATATATACTTACGTAGATCCATAGGTTCTCAGTCGGGAATGGACGGAATTTTATCCCCATCTACCCATGCTAGTAACTTATAATAATTTCTCTCTGAAACTATACGAATAAATAATTAATTTAAATAAAAGAAATTGTAATAAATAATTATTAGTTTTATCATAAAAGATATTGATGTATTCAATAAAACACAACATATAATACATTTACAGAATATTTGTTTTTATTATCTATTTAGTTGTTTCAACTGTTAGTGACCCTGTGAACAATAATTTTTCAAAATTTCTTATCTGCAACAGTTTTTTTTTTTTTTCAGTCTGGCCAGTTTGAAGAACATAATTTTAATTAAAACAATGTAAAATAACGATTGTAAGCATTTAAATTTGTTATTTTACAGGATAGTCTATTTTGTTAAATAAGACGAAAGAAGAAAGAAAAACTATAAAGTTTACTAAGTAAAATTTTATTATTTCGCTAGATGGTAAAGCAGGTTTTAGAAAATATTTCTAATTTATTGAAAAGAGGAGGATGTATCTAGCATGTTATTTATGTTATCGGTAGCTTTCAATTTAACCAACCGATGCTACAGACCAACGTGATTGTGGAGGGACCGAAATAATCAATGTCACATTCATTGTTTGTCTTCAGTCGGATCATACGCTCCGTTAGTTTCTAACGGCAACGAATTTTAACTCCCGCTTTCGAAACCACCAATGACTAATACTTTAGTTAGATGTAACAAAATAATGATATGATTTTACATTTTAATTTACAAGGTTTCATTATATGCGATATAACAAATTAAGAGAAAAAATTTAAAATTTTTAACTAATTGTAAAAACTAAGCATAAAATTTGTATGCAGTCTTTATAAATGACAGCAAATAAGTAATTTAAATCTATTTTAACTTGAGCAGCTAGAAACTTATTCTATCTACAATCTGCTTTTACACAGGAGAGATCAAAATTCTTAAAAATTAAATTGATGTCTTATCCACTGTAAAGATACAGTTGATATCAATTACTTTATTACTTAAAAAACTACAAAAATTACTCAAGAATGAAATTCTTTGTGTTCAATACACGAATTACAACGTTTTAATACATACAAATTGCTGACGCTCTTGCAAAAATTGATGAATTGCTTGCAAACAGTACACCCATATTTAAGATTAACACTCGGGTGGTGGATCTATTTGTTCGCACATTTCACATGAAAAGAGCCCCGCGATTCCGGAACCCCGAGAGGCTGAGGTTTTTTCTTATAATTTGAAGAAAAAAGTTTTGTAATTCAATAATTTAAAAAGTTTAAATAAGGTTCATTTACTTTCCCTTTTATCCTATACTAAAAAGTAAGTTATGGAGTAAGCTGATTTTAGTGACTTAAGTTTAATATTTTTAGAAAAAGTATTAAACTTAAGTTCCAAGCTATCTACTATTATTTATGAAAGCGATTCACTATTGGGACTCGATGTCTTAAATTCTGCCATTGCAAAGATTATTTATAAAGATTATAACAAAAAATAGAGAACTTAGGACATTTTTGTTTTCATTTTATTTTGATTTAATTTTCGTTTAAAATTGTAACAAAAAGCCTTAATTGTTTCATTAAAGCATTTTTTTTGCATTCTATATAAAACTAAGAATTTGTAACGATTTTGCTGTTGGTTTAAGTTAGATTATGGGCACGATAATATTAGGTCTATTCGCTACATAAATAAATAAATAAAATTAAAAGAGGAATGGTTCCTGTTGCATAAATATGTAACAAGTTTCATTGAAAATTATTCAGAAAAAGGGAGATAAGAGGAAATTTTTGAGAGGCTTTTCCAAATGCGAAACGAGACTCCCTTCAAATATTTTACCGCAATTCAGTTCTTTATAACAAACACGGCTACTCATTTCAAAAAATTGACATCAGGAGTTTGGTTTTCAAAAAACGAGCCAATTGAATAGGTTGTATTACTGCAACCGGCGTGAAATATTTCTATATAAATCGTTATAAATGCATCAGAAACGAAGACGAAGGCAGATAAAAAGAAAGTGGAATTTCCAAATCTCTTTCATTTAAATCCATAGCAGAAGTCTGTTACGAATATAGTAAACGAGGATACTTTATTACTATAGGTGGACGTAATCTTCGATAAAATGGACCCAGATCCAATATTCCTACTTATTTATGTGAAGCGAAGATAAATACGACGTTTCGCTTGATTTAATCGCAAAGATTTTTCACATTTCGAATCCAATATTGTCGAATTTAAAGCATCCCTCCTATGTCAATTTTCCGAAGTTTATCAATTTTATACATATAGCGTGCTCTTCTTAGGGAAGAGAAAAAAATCCCGATGCTTTCTTGATGCTATTTCTCAATCAGGACTCGACGACGACTAGAGTCGAAGCTAATAAACCGAATTTAACTGCAGATAAAATTCTTCTTTCTACTCTTCGACGATAAATGTTTACTTTGTCTGTAGACGATTCGATTCTGTCTTCGCTTAGAGATCCAGATTAAGTATCTCACTCATACTTCCCGTCATATGTAGTTCCATCAAAACCAAATACGAGTTGTCCCCTCAGGTGAGATTAAAAACACCCCTTGCAAAAAAAGGGAGGGGAAAAGATACCGGATTCTCTTTTTTTACCATGATACCTTTTTCTAGTAATGGGTTTAGGCTTACGGTCCATCTTCGTTGATCCAATTTACTGACCTGCCTCTCTTTTCTTAAAGTTATTTTGTCGTATATAAACGGTTTTTTTTTTAACTTACACCTTATTCCCATCAGTCTTTGCTTACATTTTTTTAAACTTATTTCGATGATTTGCAAATGTAATTCAGCAGTTCTAATGATAAATTATTTGTGGAGGGGTAAATCCAATTCGATCGATAATTAGCAATTTGTAGGAGCGAGTATCTTTTCGACTTGGCCAAAAGAGAAAACGATTTTATGTCCTGCTAATTATACCAAATGGAATTGATTTGATAAAACTTAAACCGATATATCTAATCTATTTATATTTTCGATACGCTAAAACTCAAAGAGAACGTAGATGATATCTCACTAAAGAAAAACGAATGAATAAGTGCTTATAATATATCGTGTGACATGTTTTTAAATAAAGTTATACAAATTTGTATTTTATTGTTTTACAAATTATTTATTTGTAAAATTTTGCTTTGATATAGATAGTAATTATAATTACCAAGGAGATTTACATGATGATACATTTGTTCGAAGAAAGCAGAGAAGAAACCGCACAACTTTCACCGTACAACAGGTAAGTAGAGGATCTTAAAAGAATCTACAGTACATTTAAAGAGATTTATAAATTAATGTAAAAGAAACATAAGTTAATCTTTATTTTTAAAATTTTAACTTAATTTGCCTCCGTTTATATTATTTTAACTTTTATAGAAATGATTCAAAAACTTGAGAACTTACTTTATAAAAGTATAACTTTAATTATAAAATTTAATGTTAGTGTATTGCATTAATATATATTTCAATTATTTAAAAAATAATATAAATTCGTAGAAATATTAAATCTATAAAAATGTTTATCAAGAAGAAAAGTTTTATTTTAAGAAAAAAGATCCGTGACTATTAAATAAAGATGGGGAAACAAGTCGATGCGCTGTTTTTGCGAAAATGTCCGGAAGCAGTTTCCAAATTTGATATTTTATTTGATCTTCAAATGTATTTCATTTTCAGTTAGAAGAATTGGAAAAAGCTTTCACTCAAACCCATTATCCCGATGTGTTTACTAGAGAAGATCTAGCTATGAAGATCAATTTAACTGAAGCGAGAGTTCAGGTAAAACCTTTTTTGGAGGTGATTTAAAATTGGATAAATGCTTTTTACTATAATATATATTGCGAGTTAGCTATTATGATTTCTTTTATCAATAATTTAATTCAGAATGTCAATTTGTACAAACAAAGTGCTTTCATATGATATAGTTCTATCATATAAAATATTTTTGTCTTCATTATAAATTTAAAAAATGGAAAAACTTTTCCGAGCTATTTCTGTTTTAAAATATAAACTCGGTAGCATTGACATGTAAACTTGTTTCACTCACCGAATGATATATTTTATATTAGTTTTCACTTTTGTATATATATATATATATATATATATATCTTTGAAATATGTACTGTACTTTAAAATTTTGAAATATATATATTAAATTCGAAGCTCCTTTCGAAATACTAGAGTAAAAAAGAAATCGTATAAAAAATTAATAGTTAAAGAAGAGAGAAAAAAGAGGAAAATTATTAGTTAATTCCCATTTGTAGAGTATCCCTTGAAATAAATTTAAACTCGTGTTTAAATCAAATACTTACTCACTTGTTGGGTGACTAAAGAACGGTAAATATATATCATTCTATGCTCTTTAACACATGGGAGTAAAGGGAGATCTAAACTCGGAGGAGGTACAGCGAATGATGGAAAGTCCTGTCTAGACCCAGATTGGACCGTTGTCCCACGGGAAGTCGGTAACTCGTATCCTAATCTTCTACCATTTCCCTACTCATCCTTCCCGACGTCAAGACATGATTTCCACCAAGATTTGGCTCGTGTTAGCTTTGGACTTAGCTAAATACTAATGAGAAATGCATCTTCCCTTTTCTCAGATATAAATTCAGCTTAGATCTTTGACATTAAAGCATCGTTGTGGTTCTAACTAATTCATCTAAGTCTCTAAAATAATCTATATGTTTAAATTTATAAATCTAGTTATCATAATTAAATATTTTTAGCATAAAACTTGATGTTTTATTTTGTTTATAAAATAAAAGAGAATAAGATTTTATTAAATGAATATACATTATTACAGAACAACTATTTTATTAAATTCTGGAAATACTTTTATAAAATATTGTTTTAAAGAAATTAAATATTTCTGTTATGAAACACCATTTTTTATAGAGTGGTACTCCACTATCAAACTTTAACAAATACGTTGATTTAAAATCTAGTTTTGTATTTATCGAATCACATAATGACGCACGTAAGCCTCTTTCTTTAGATTTATTTTAAGCTTTTGGAATTTTTATTGGACTTATCGCATTTTTTTGAAATATCCGACTCTATAAAGAATTTATGCTTTCAATTTTGAATATTTGCATATGATATTGTTTCATATCCAGAAGCCAATCCTATATTTAATAAACATACTCTATTTGATTGTAGGAATTCGGAATTGCTCCGAATCTTCTCAAATAAGATTTCGACTCGGCTCTTGAACTCATAACTTACTAAGTTTAAAATTTTGGAAAAACAAAATTCTGAAATGCTAATGTCGAATCTAGATCTTGTACGAAGAAAATATACTAAACTGGAACGAGATTTTATTGAGCTAAAAGTAACAAAAATATCGGTATTATACTGAAATGTTATTCCTTTTTATTATTTACCGACTTATTTTTAAAATAAGAAAAATAAATATTCTGTTGCGATTGAACTTAGAGTTTATTTAATTCTTCATCGAATCAGATGAACAATTATGCGGCATATTCTTTGTAGTTTGGGTGCCATTTAACACTTTTATGTAGTAATTAGTTTTTGTGGCTTTATAACCAACAATTTTTATGAATACGAAGTTATTAACGTAACTTTTTCTTATTGTTATCTCTAATATGATATTAATAAAAGTATATCTTTATATCAAAGTTAATTAATATATATTTTAAAAACTCTGATCAAGAATNATAAAATATAATAGCTAAAAAACAAGAGAAATAATTATGCGAAAATATTATTAATGACTAAATTCCTTTCGAAGAATCCCCCTCATCTACAGCTTACTAGTGTTACCGGTCGGGACGCATTTTGGTTATATCCGTTTATAAATTACCCTAATGAGGAAGGTTTATTGTTGCGAGAACGGGGCGTAACCATTTACTGTGACGGATTGAGAATTATCACGACATATCGAGATAACGGCCAGTTTTATTATTGGATGCTAGCAGCAATTGTCGATTGGGTATCGGTAGTCGTTTCACGCCCAACTCTGACCGGAGTATAGGGATATCCGGCAGTAATGTCTGGCGCCATCAATAAAATTTTGTGTTCTCCAAACCAATTGGGAAATAATAACTCCCTAAACGAGCTTAACTAGCAAAACAAATAAAAAGAAAGTACAAAAACAATTTTGCCTCTCGCGATAATCTTCCTCTTAACCCGTAACATTGGGCGTAAACTAGTTATAATTACTCTCGATTTTGAATTAGAACCACGTAATCGTACAGCTTAATTAAATATTCCAAACTATATTTCACTTATCTAATATTTATCCTATATATGTATATAACCCTTGGGATATATCACTCCAGTTAACGCTTCATCCTACACTTTACGAGTTGTAATATAAACACTGACGTAACTAGGCGAGATTAAATGAAGAATAATGATTGGAAAAGTTATAATGGGTGTATATTTATAGGTTAAATAGTAAATGAAAATTACTCTAATTAAGATAATCTAATTCCGATTGGTTAAAGTGATCGCTTCGTGACTATATAACTTGTAACGTCGGCTACTCAGTATTCGTCGAGATAAGTCGACTTCCTTCAATCAATATTGGGTGTTATTTGCGGTTGTAACTCGCTAATCTGTTATGGTTTTGACAATGACAATCCTTAATTTGGTCCTCTAGAGAAATTACCATAATTCTACTTAAAATTAAAACAGCACGCTACACTGACTCATGTCCTTTATTACGCTTTAAGCATGCACGCAAATTCCGCATAGAGTAGGTAATTTCACCTAGGTTAGTTATTATCGCATACATTTGACTTCGAATCCATTATAAATTTGATTATTGTAAAAGATAGCATCTATCTACAATTATCACATTATCCGAGGTCGATTTAAACTACTGCTATAAAGAATATACGACGATATCGTTCGATAATCAGATATTAATTTTTGTTATTGGAAAAAAAACGATAAAAATATAATTAAATAAATTTCTCATTGAATAAAAAAATGTAATTTTTTTACAATATATTTTGTTTTTTTATTTTTTAAATGTATTATTCGTTTTCGTATTTTTTAAGTAGGAATGTTCCGTTTTTCGCTTTCAAGAATGCTTATTTATAGAATAATACGCATAATAATTGCTAAGAAACGATCTAATTATGTTTATAAAGTTACATAAAGTTTGATTTATATATAGTTAATTAGTATACAGTTAATTGAAGGATTAAAAATCAAGTATTTACGGCGAGCGACAAACAAATTGAGATATTTAGCGGACTAATTGGAGTTATCTTAACAATAATTAATGAGTAAGTCTAATGTCCATTTGATCTCGAACACGATTTTGAATTAATTATTGTTATTATTTTATTTTAAAGTAATTCTCTCACAAAATTACACTTGCGATACTTTTATAAATCCTTATTTTCTAGCATTTTAACGCAACTAATTCAAAGAATTTAAGTTATTTTGTGGAAATTACAGTAAAAAGTGTTTATAATTATGAGGTACTAAGTTTGAGATAAGGCAGTTAAAAATAAGATAAAGTATATGATAATCGGGTAATTATAGACTTCAAATTAAATTAAAATTTATATAAATCTTCAAAAACGACATTTACTAGTGGTAATTTAAGAACTAAAATCAAGTTGAAGAATTGAAATCGATGTAAAGTAATTAAATTAAAATCAATGGATGGTAATCTAAGAATTAAAGTAAGTAAATCAGATGAACTAATTTTATTTGCTCTTCTTGTATATTTGATCTTAAGTAATATGGAAAGAAAACATTTTTATCCATTACCCATCCGCATACTCACTAAAAAACTACCTACTCTTTAAATTAGTATAAGAATTAAAATACTTATAAACAAATTACAAATTGTTCGGTTTTTTTCTTAATATAATTATTAGAAAAACTTGGCAATGTCCCTAATGAGAGATTTTTTCATAACCGTTAGAGATAATAAATTTTTTTCCGTTGTTGGTGCATATTAGGATGCAGAGTAATTTATAAAAACAATTTTAATTCTGAGCGCTGATTAAAAAAAGGGGGCAACTGTAATGACGGCAGAGCATCGAATGACATCATTGCTGTTCCTATCGATAGGACGACATCTTGCGGGAAGAGGACACATTTAGAGAGTAGATGCCGTTGTTCGTAAATGGTGTAATTCAATCAGTTCAATCCATTGAGACGTCAACTAATTACTTCCATTAGGACAGTCAGGGCGTAGTAAGTGATAGCCGATAGTTGAGAGGGATGGTACTAGAGGGCAGTTCTGATGGTTCTATTATTCATGGGCGAAAATGCCGCACATAGAATACGGAATTAGTATGGGGTCAAGAATGAACTTTTTTCCCCCAAAGTTTTTTTATCCCCTTAACATAAACACTAGCCGTAATTAGTTTATAAAAATGCTCGTACTCAAGAAGAAAACTGTTAATCACCCAATTAAAACAGAACTTAATTAAATATATCTAGGAAACTTTAACAAGAAATTAATTAAGTGCGTCTTACTCGATGATAGAATTTAAAAAGATGCTAAACAAATTTTCCCTTCGTTCGTATAAAAAAAAAAGAAAAAAGAAAAATGTCTTAACAAATAACTGGATTCTTATTTAAGGCGAGAAATTAAAAATTTAAAAAGTGATTAAATGGATTTTGTCGAAAAGTGAATAAAATATAATTCGAGGATAAATTGATTAGCTGCATTTATATTAGATGGAAACTCTTTATTTTTCAGCGAGATTCGATAAATTTAATTCATTTGCGATTAATTCCTTTAAATTTGTTTTAAAATTATTTCCTCCAAGCTAAATTAAAAT